TGTCATTTTCCTCTACTTCTTTTGTATGTTTGTCACTCTCTTGTGACCTGCTATTTCCGGGGTGCCTTGATAGTCGAAGCAGACTTTGTGCTGTTGGAGCTAGAGAGGTGAGCAGTCTAAAAGTTCGTGTAAAGTGTCTTTCCCAAGGACACAATGTCGGACCGAGATGAGGCTCGAACCCCCGAACCCACAGTCTCACGATTACGAGTCCAGGAGCCTAAACACTACGCTACCCACGCCACCGAATTTCCCTATAACTCGCATCTTTTGAAACGAATGATTTTGAAGGTCGCGGTCGAATTTAGTTGTATTCGGTCGTATTGTGCCAAAATGGTAACAGCAGAAGTGGGTGGTTGGCGGGAGGTCTGGTTTGGTTTGCAAGCTTGTTTTCTATCAAATAAATAGGTGTCGTCTTTGTCTCTCCTCTTTCTTTTCTCTTTAGCAACAAATCGTCGGTACTTATATTACCTATTTGTGTCGCAAGTGCTGTAAAACACCTACTAAAACTAAACTACCTCACCCCCCCCCCCATTTTTTCAAGCGGTCCTACAACCAAGGTATTTGACCTTGGGGTTGTTATCCTTGTCTGTGGGTCTTTGTTGGGACACATTGCTGGGTTCTTTTTCTTTTCCTTCACTTTCTGTCTATCTTTCCGTCCGTCTGTCCGTTCCTCCGTCCGTCTGTCTGTGTTTCTGTCTGTCTGTCTGACTGTCTGTCTGTCCATCTGTCTGTGTGTGTGTCCATCTGTCTTGTCTGTCTTGTCTGTCCATCTGTCTGTCTGTCCATCTGTCTGTCTGTCTGTCTGTCTGTCTGTCTGTCCTGTCTGTCCATCTGTCTGTCCATCTGTCTGTCTGTCTATCTGTCCATCTGTCTGTCCATCTGTCTGTCTGTCCATCTGTCTGTCTGTCCACCTGTGTTTTCTGTCTGTCCATCTCTCTTGTCTGTCCATCTGTCTGTCTGTCTGTCCACCTGTCTGTCCATCTGTCTGTCTGTCTGTCCATCTCTCTTGTCTGTCCATCTGTCTGTCTGTCTGTAAACCTGTCTGTCCTTCTGTCTGTCTGTCTGTCCATCTGTTTTGCTCGTTCCCAACACAGAACGACCATTAGTGCGCTGATGCACCTGTGTTTAATCAAACACACTTTACCTGCTGCTTCACTCCAGTCCTTTCCTCCATCCGTATCCGGGTCTTTCGTTTGTTCTGACGAACAGGCTAAGTGCTCTGCCTTTGAAAGAACATATTATCTGCATCTGAGAAGGGCGTTGAACTTATCATCATCATCATCATCATCATCATCATCATCATCATCATCATCATCATCAT